TAGACGTATAATCAGAGATACTACGCAGATTGACGTTTTTATAAACTTCAGTTGCTAAGAAATACTGTCCTTTGTGTTATGACGATGCTTTTGTTGTCTCGGCTTTTAGAGGGCGAGGGAAAATCTGCACAAAGTAGCGCGCAGGTGAACGCGTCAGGCAAAACCTCAAGAGAGGGATCCAGGCATGCAGCCTCCCCACAACGTGAGCAGTCAAACTTGCGAATCCATTTTACGGGGGGGGGAGGGGGCTTTAAGGCAAAATGACTCTTCGTTCTGAAAAGATAGCAGCCAAATACTTTCTTCGGGGCACAAGGTTCAGGGTTAGGGTTCCTTAAACCGAAAAGAAGCCAAAACTGCCCGAGCTGCAGCAAGAAACAATCTCGCCTTTGGACGGCCTGCATGCCTCAAAAGCATGTTCCATCAGCCGGTAATTTTTTTAGTTCTCCCAAATCCTTTGAAGGCTCTTTATTCTCCTTGGCAAAGAAAGGTGCAAATGTTCTTCTTATCTAGTTTGACCATCTAGCCCCTGGTAACAGGAAGGCATTTAATTAGTCAGCTCAGTCCTCTATTTCTGGTAAGTAAAAGCGTTTTAGGTTTTTGGTCTCTCCGCGTCATCTTTTTAGGAAAATCTCTTTTAGGAAAACCTCAACAAACCTTTAAACTCTTGGAAAAGCCGCGCTCTTTCTTCCTTCGAATTAAAGTTTCGCTTCTTTTCGAGCTGATTTGGAAGGAAGTCCCGTTGAATTGAGAGCATTTCTTTCTAAGCAAACGTTCCCGAGGCTGGGCTGAGACCTGCGCCCCGATCCCGATCTTCAGGGATTCTGCGCCATTTAACTATCCCTGTTCCCGCTTCCCTGCGCGCTGTTTGGTTTCGTGAAAAGCTGCGCCGGAGAGGAAACGAGGAGGGCGGGAGGAGGAGGAGGAGCGAGAGCTGACCAAAAGAAGGCGACCTCCAGCACCGAAATCACCAATGGGGAGCTGACGGTTGAACCTGCCAGAGGAATGCCGCCGTGGACAACGCCAAGCCCCCTTAAATGAGAACAATCTTGACATCGCTACGAATTAACGCGCGATGATGTTCTCATGGCAGGAAGGTACCCTGTCCACTTCAAACGGGGCGCAAGGAAAAGAGGTTTGCACCTTTTCTCTCCCTGAAACAAACCCTTACACAGTAACCCGGGAGTAAATAGGCCCCTTTGGTTAGTCTGGAGGTCCTTTCACTGTTTGTTCAGACTGTCTGTCGCCAGGGTTTAAACCAACAACGAACGATCTTGTGATTTCATTAGTGAAAGAAAAAATACCCGAACATTCAGGACAAATTAGAGCGAGAGGGCGGGAAGTGGGTGACAGAACCTGTCTGGATCTTACAGATAATTACAGATAATCAGAGTTGGAAGGGACCTTGTAGGTCGTCTAGTCAAATCCCCCCCGCCCCGCAGGAGATTCTACACCATTTCTGTCAAATGGCAGTCCAACCTCTTCTTGAAAGTCTCAAGTGATCTAGCTTGAGAAACGGGCGGTGGGTATTTTGAGGGGAGGCCAAAGGGATTCGGGATTAATCCTGTTCGTACCCATTCCAATGGAATGCCGTACACGTGTGTGTGTTTTTATAAGTGCATACGCAGCTGCGCGGCAGAAGGCGAGCGATCCCAAGCGCAATGCCAACCAGCGGGACTCCTAAGGAAGCGGTCTTCAAAAGAGGTCCTGTTGTTGGCTCTTCAAAGGATCGGAAGTCACTTCGGCGCAGCGGCAGGGGAAAGCTCGCGGGGAAAAGTAAGATTGGGCTGCCAGCGTTCCCGGGAGCGTTCGACCCGTCATAGAGACAGAGGCGTGCACTTGTCGTGAATACCCCGATCCCTCCACCCTTTCCTTCGCCTGTGTGTTGGCCTGAGGATTCCGCTGAATTTGGAGCTCTTTGGGGAGATAGATGGCTTCTCTCCCGTGTAATTCGTGTACGGGGTCTATTAACATGTTACTTTACTCGCAGGTAAAGCCTGGACTAGATAACATTCCCATCGGAAGGGGTCCGTTTCAACAGCAATTTCTGCCCCAGCTTCATCCTTTTTTGTTTTCCGCCTCTCCTCCTGCCGGCCAGTCCGGAGTTTCCTCTTCACTGGCGAATTCTCGTTTCGCCTTTCCAGTCTCTCTCTCTCTCTCTCTCTCACCCACCCACCCTGCCTCGGGAACGATCGGCTGCCGAGGGAGGTTCGTTGGACGCTGAGCTTGCAAACTGACCTCTTATTTAGGAAGTCATTAATCACATCCCCTCCCCCGGAACAAGACGGCGGTGGAACCTGTGAAGCGCCATCCCGCTCCCTCCACCACCAACCAACCCCCCCTCCGCGTAGTACCGCTTCCCTAAATGCTTTGAAACGCTTGACTGCCTCGCATCCTGAACCGAATTGAGATGACATCGCGTTTCCGGTGGGGCTTCCCTAATGGACGAGGTACAGACCCGGCAAGGCGACTTTGTCCCGAACAGGCTTGATTGACCGAGTCTACACAAGGCAGACCTGCCATAAGCACCTTCAGACTATCAGAATTCTTTTATTGGCCAAGCGTGATTGGACACACAAGGAATTTGTCTTGGTGTAAATACTCTCAGTATACATAAAAGAAAAGATACATTCGTCAAGAATCAAGAATCATAAGGTACAACACTTAATGATAATTATAGGTACAATAAGCAATCAAATCATACTAGGAAACAGTCAATATAGATCGTAAGGATACAAGCGACAAAGTTACAGTCAAACAGTTCTGCGAAGTATGCAACGCGTATTTTAATGCTCGCCGATCGTTCGAACAGTTGGTGTGTTTTAGCAATGTAAACCCTATTATCAAAAGAGGCTTCGATGCTATGATTTATTCTCTGATGATATTCCACAGAGATATTTTTTTCAAAAAAAAAATCCCTTCCAACAAAAAGCACGACCGAGACGGGAATAAAATGGCAGCACTGCAATGTGGTTATTATAAAGAAAGCGGGACCCCAATAATAGATCTACGTTTCAGGAAAGCAAATTCCGAATTAAAATGGGGGGGGGATCCTAATAATTAAACCGAGGTTTCTTATTCACGAGATGTACCATATCACCAATCGTTCGTCTTGAGATGATTTAATTTGGATTCCTGCACCGAGTGGGCTTGATGATCTTAGTGATGGATTCATGACCAATTCTGTTAAAGGTTACAGTCATACGGCATATACACTTAAATGGCAGTTAGACCCATGAAGTTCAGGTAGTTTTACTTCGGGGGGGGGGGGGGGAGCGCAGGCCTCCTTGGCCCAAATTCTGCGCGCAGTTAGTGGAAAGGAAGGCGGCTGACTTCCAGGTAAATGTGTGTGCCCAAGAAGAAGCAAGACTGCGCCCCCTATTTCTTCCCGATTCCAACGGGACTGCGACCAGCACGTCCGTACAACGATCCAAAGCCCACCTCCCACCCAAGTTTACATGCAGAAACCATTCCCAAGTTAAATTAAAGCCACCGATTGCCATTTAGGTTAAAATAAATAAAATAAATAAATAAATAAAGCTCTTATCGCCCGATTTGTGGATCAGCTTCCGAGCTCTTTCCGGCGGCGCTTCCCAACCTCCCGGGTCCCCCCGCCGTTACGAAAGTTGCGTGGAGCGAAGGGCGATTTCTTTGCACGCGCGTCCTCCCCCGCCCCCCCGAAAAAAAAAAAAGGCTTTCGCTCCAGAGAGCGCGCTCTCTACGCTTGGCTCGCGCGAGGCAGGCAGGCCGGCCGGCGGGCTTACGTCCCGACAAAGAATTCCCCACCCTTAACCAGCGTCACACGGATCTACGTAAAGAAACGTGCCAACTCGTGGCACGGGGAGCGGATTTTCAAATTTCGTTGTTGGTTTCATAAATTATTCCGGCCTGTCAGGGCCGTTAGAAGCGCCGATTGGCTATTCGTGTTGTTGTTTTTTTGGAGGGGGGGCAACTTCCCTCCCCTCCCTCCCCAAATCCCCTTAACTCGGAAGACCCGAGATGAAATTAGTAGTAAGAAGGCATGTAATTGAGCGAGTCACGTGCAACGGGGCCCCAGAATCGCAGCCAGAGCATGGACGGCGCTTTGGCCTGGGAGGTGGGGGCGGGGCAGCCGCAAGCTCCCCCCCCCCCCAAAAAGAGAGCAGGGACCTAGATAAATAAATAAAAGCGGGGGGAAACGCTCAAAATCAAGATGTTAAGCTAATTGCGGAGACCGCTTCTCCCGACCTGGAAGGGAGGGGGGGGAGATACTTTTCCGCCTCGCTACTTTGGAACAGAAGGCCTATAAAGCAACATGGCCGAAGGTTATCCCCCTTCTTTTCCTGGGTTGCTTTTCTCCCCCCCTCCCCCCTTTGAATCGTCGCCTGGCTTTCCTTCTTCTCTCTCCCGTCCTCTTTTTTTATTTTTTAAAGGAAAGCCCTTTAACTTTCGCTTTAAAGGAAAGGGCAGTTTAAAGGACAGTTCGTTTGAAAGGAAAAGCACGACCAACAACGGCCACGAAATGGGAGATTGTGTGAGTGTGTGTGTGTGTGTGGGGGGGAAGAATCCTATTGTGGCCGAGATCTCCTCTGTGTCGCTCTGCGCCGCCCACCGCCGATTCACCCGAGTTGAAAAGCCTTCGGAGGGACCATTGTCCCTATCTGATTGAGCAAGCAATCGCTGAAGGCAGAAAGGGAAGGGGAAAGTTTTATACACCTGCCCCCCCATATACACACACACACACACGGCCGCTCCATTCGGCTCTAGTGAGAGTCGTTCCAGCGTACAAGAAAGGGGAGGGGGAGGCTGCCGGAGGGAGGAAGAGCGCGAGAGAAATGAGCCCAGTTGGAAAATAACACCCGGCGCTCGCGGCCGTTGGATGGGCTGTTCCAAGCGGTTGTGCAATCGCCTTCTCCCTCGGCTCAGTCGCCCCCCTCCCTCCCCGCCCCTCCTCGCTCGCTCCCTCCCTCCCTCCCTCCCTCGCCAGCCAAGACTCATTCGCCTGCGAATTCCTCTGGGGAGGGATGGGATCGGTGCTCAACCAGCAGTATCCAAGTAAAGTATCGTTTTCTGGGGTGGTTTATGTGGCTGAAAGATGGAGTTAAAGGGCAGGATCGCACGTATGTACAGAACAACGTGGGGTGGGCTGGACTGCTGCTGCTGTTGCTGCTGCTGCTGCTACTACTACTACTACTACTGTGTGTGCGAGTGGCGGGGAGTGTATGAAAAATAGAGCCTGAGTCACAGCAGATGCTGCCTTTCCTTCGGAGATGCCCTTCAGCGTTGCATTATTATTGTTTCTTTCGAAATGCGGTTTATTTCCTCCTACCAGATCCGGGCGTGGGTGTGCTTGAAATGTTGGTGCGCTTTAAATTTTTTGTATATACGTGTGGGTCGGAAGGGAAGGGAAAAATAGCTCGATTTCGTAACGTTGAACGTGCGTGTGTGTGTGCTTTCCGTCCTTTTCTTTAGCAATCGCTCTTGTGCAGCCGCCAAGGAGATGTTACTAGAATTTAATTCTCTGCCTGTGTGTAAGAGAGAGGGTGTGCGAGTGTGTGTGTTCGCGTGTGTATTTACGTAGTTTCTTGTGTTTCCCCCCCCCCCCAATCCCTCTCCAAATCAGCGGGGGCGCGTAAAAGTGGAGATGAACCCGGGAAATTGCCGGAACAAGAAGAGGAAGAAGAAGAGGAGGAGGAGGAGGAGGAAACCCAGGTTTTGCACGGAACAGGCCATTGCAAGTGGTTTAATGTGAGAATGGGATTCGGATTTATTTCCATGCTCAACCGCGAGGGAAGCCCTTTGGAGTCTCCGGTTGATGTCTTTGTACACCAAGTAAGCCCTTTTTGTTACTTAAATTCTCACCTCGGTCCCTTTTGCTAAAATTAAGCGATCCTAGTTCCGTTTAAGATTGCTTCTGTTTCATGTGACCCAAACCGTGTTTGCATAAATATATATTGTGCCTGTTCTGTTAGGAACTAATTTCAGGTAGCAACAGCAAAAGTCCCAATGAAATCAGTGTATTGAGAAAATACCCTATTTTCTCAATAAAAGCTAATAAATACCTTCCCAATACAAATTGTAGTAGGAAGCCTTGGTTGTTGTTGTTTTTTTGTTTTTGTTTTGCTTCCAGTGTAATTCTAGAGGAATTTTGTAATCTATTAGTCATCTGATAATTACCCTTTACTGAAATTGGAGCACGAGAAAATCAGGTGTAAACCCTGCAATTTTGTGCATGTTGATTTGAACTTAAAGATTCTGCACACAAAACATAGAACTTACTTAAAAAGAAAACATTAAACAATGTTACTTTTTGTGATAATACAATGTGTAAATAGTACTTGTCTTGCTCTGCTATTTGGAAACAAATGGATCTCATATTGTAGAATATGACATATCAAAGCCTAATTTATGTTCAGGTATGTGATAATCTGTGAGAGCAAAATATCTTTTATAGAGCAACAAGGCTGCTCAGTCTTTAAGCCTCAAAGTTTAGAAGTGCAAATAAAAGGTGATATTATCATACATATTTATGTTCAAATAAAGGTGTGATTCCTTTTGCATGTAAAAGTCCATTATGACTAACAACAAACAACAGCATAAAACTGATAATTCAGTTAACTATTTTGGACACGTGCCTTTCACTTTCTCTTCTGTCCTTGATTATCTAAATCCTAAAAATCAGGAATTAAATTTCGAATTGTACTATCCCATAGTTAGTTCAGAAGGGGAATGAAATGCATACACATTCCTGAAATTCCTATGCACAGTTGTTAAATTCCTTTTTATTTTATTTTAAATCCTTCATTGAATGTAGGAAAACCTGGGCTTTTGATTGGGTATATCTGCAAAATTGCAATAATATTTCATGTGAATAAATCTGTGGGTACTGCCTGTGGGTATTTCCTAGACAACGGAGATATATTTTTTTCTGTGTCAAGTTTGCTGTCTTTCTTTTTTTCTGGTTTGAGCAAAATTTTAAGATGATCCATTATGTGTGGTTTTTATTATAATTTGGGTGATGGGGGTGGAATTCATTTGCAATAGAACAAGGTAATAAAAACCAGTAATTTCAGGTATAAAAATATTTTCTGAGGCAATACTTTAATTGAATTCAGTGAAATGTTCTGGAATAAGTGGTGAAAGAATTGCTGTTGCTGCTACTCAGAATATTTACTTTGCTTTTCCCATGTTGTTACAAAATTAATATCACTTTAATGAATTGTTAAGGTGGCATCTTGAAACAAAATTAATATTAATTTAACTATAAATATGGAGACTAAATGTGAAATATTTGATTTTTTATTTACATGAATTTGTTTATTTGATTTAATCTACAATCCTCATAGTTTTCAGTGCTGATTTCTAATGGCATCAGGCTTCTAAATTTCTCTCCCCTCCCTTTTTAAAGTCCTTCATGTATATTTGTATATATAGAGGAACTGAATGTATATGTGGAGTCATATTATGCCTGAAAATCAATCTCCCCAAAATCTGTTAAAATAACATTTATGTAAAAGACACCTGTAGTTTGATTATTCATACATTGTCATGTTGTAAGGTGCTGTGTATCTTGCTAGGCTTTTGACATTTTGTGTTTATATGATCACAAATTTTAAAAAAGTAAAACCAAAATATTGTGGGGAGGGTTGATTGCAATGGCAGTCGGGAGAACAAACTGTATTAGTCTGTTCCATGCACACTTGCATTGATCAGTGTGGTTATTGATAGGTTGCAATAATTAAATGAAAGTTATGTAACGATGTAGACTTGGATATTTTTTTTAAAAAAAAAAGCTTGATTTCTATATTCCTCTTTCATCTATAAGTCTCTGGGCAAGTACTATTTTTTAATCTAAGATAAATGTGTACAAATCATGATCAATCCCATTTTACAGATTTGGACTGTAGAACTATAGCAGGTTAGATAGTTTTCTGTACATATGTATTTTGCCACTTCTTAGTTGAAACAACTCTTGACTTTATAAGTGGGCTTTTTAAACATTCCAATCAGAATTCTTCGCAGAAGTTGGACTTTTGTGTGTACATGCATACATACATTTGAACCTCCTTATGCCAGATTGAAATTTAATGTTCTGTCTTGTCTATTAAGCTGTTGTAGAGTATGAAGAGTAAAGAGAGAGTAAAGAAACCTAAAAATTCTGTAACAGACAAAATTAATCCATGAGTTGGAAACATCCTTGTAGAATTCAGTAAGCAACAAAAATAATCTATATAGAAGAAAAGTGAAGTGTATAGGGGCGTTACTAATATACTGTATTTAGATAATTTGAAAAAAAAGCATTTTAGGAATACTTCCATATATATGTATGTGTGTGTGTATTTGTGTGTTTGTGTGTGTACACAGACACACACACACACACACATTTGCAAATACGTATAATGAATTATTCCTGATAAACATTGAATGAAATGGGGGTTTTATGATATAAAAATGGAGCTTTTTTTCATTATTGGGTTATAAATATCTGGAAGGATATTTGAAGCAAAGTATTCCTCCGGCATTTCCAGTAACGTTGATTAAATCTTAACTTGCAGAAAGAGTGCAGAAAGAGTGTACGTGTGCTCTGGGGAGCTGCTCTTCTGGTTTCCAGCGCTCCCACGTGCGCGAAGACCAGTTGTCTGGCGCGCATGCACACACCGGAACATGAAAGAACAGCTCCCAGCACATGCATGCATGCCAGTCACTTGGTTTCCAGTTTCTAATGCACATGCACACATGAAGACTAGCTGGCTGGCATGCATGCACGTGCCAGAACCCAGAAGGGCAATGGCTGGCATGCCCGGAGAGATGGCTCTGCGTACCACGTCCGGCACATGTGGCATAGGTTCACCATCACAGATCTACGTTACAGATCTCTCTTTTGAATGCCAAGCCAATTGCTGGTAAAATATCTAAGAATCACCATTTAATGGTGAATGGTAACTTCCGTCTGGTATGTATAATGGAGACTTACCTCCATGTAGAATTGCCTCTACCAGATGGGGGGCATAGGAGTTTAATCATAATAAATAAATTGAAAGTAGAGAGAGAACTTCATCTTGCTTAGTTCTCTACAGTTCTCTGTGATGTAGCTGGCTAGATTTGGACAGCAAAGTTGAGAATCTGGGTTTGGGAGCAAATCATGGTTGGTTTGTAAGAATTCCATTTTGCTAAGAAGAAATTGTCTCAAACATTCTGCCAATTCTAAGTTCCTATCACTGTAGGGACAGTTGTTCTGCTGATGTCTGTTATTGTATCATCTATCCAGCAACATTAATACTTGGAACTAGTTTGCAGATGTTAGAGGAAGCATGTTGCAGTTTGTATAATCGTTTGAAAGTGATACTTTGAAATATGCAAGAGGGCAGAGACACCCTTCTGTTTGGCTTGTTAAAGCAACTGTGTCTTTTTGGGGGCTAGCACGGAATAAAATGGCTATGCATGCATAGGCATGTGAAGATAGCCGGAAGCAGCAGTTTGGAAACATTTTAATAATTTAAAGAGATGTTTTATATATCTGCCATGTGTTCAGAAACATCTGTTTTGAAAGATTTACACAGTTCTGGAAGGTTGTCCTAGGTTTCCTGGTTGGACAATTTAATGGTCCAGAATTCTGATCAGTCAAGGGATATCCAGAAATTCTTGCCCACCTAGGTCGTCCTCAATTTACAACAGTTCATTTAGTGACCTTTTGAAGTTACAACATCACTGAAAAAGTGACTTATGACTGTTTTTCACACTTATGACCATTGCAGCATCCCCACATGATTTACATTCAGATGCTTGACAACTGACTCATATTTATGACGGTTGCAGTGTCCTATAGACGTGATCCCTTTTTGCAGCTTTCTGACAAGGAAAGTCAATGGGGAAACTAGATTCATTTAACAACCGTGGTACTAATTTAACAACTGCAGTGATTCATTTTAACAAATGTGGCAAGGAAAGTCATAAAATGAGGCAAAGCTCACTTAACAAATTTCTCACTTAGCAACATATAGTTTGGGCTCAATTGTGGTTGTAAGTTGAAGACTACCCATATAGATATGTCCCAGTTAATATCCGTTCCCTTGTCAATCCACAATTAAAACAGCCTCAATTTGGATTTAAGAATTGGGGTGGGGTGTGATGAATACAATCCAACCAATTATTTTATCTTTTTTTCTATTTGGGGATGTTGAGGTTGTAGACAACTAATTCTCTGGCAAGATGCCCTCCTCCCCTCCCCCATTATAAACTGGCCAGGATGTGCTTGCCCTGTGGAAGGGGGAAGAGAACGGAGGCTTTCTTGTGGAAAGTAGATGCTCCTTCCTATTTAAAATGAAGTGCTTAGAAATCTCTTATTTAAAAAACCCATCTCTTGATTTGGGAATTGATTGACTGACCTCACATCTACTAAGAAGAGAGGATGATCTCAAAGTACAGAAGACATCTGGGAGATCTGGACTTATTTCTGTCTGTTTCTGGTTGGGTTTGAGTCATCTTAGTAAATGATCTCTGCCTGAAAATGGATGGAAAGAAATGGGTATTTATTCACAGAAACATTATAGTGGATTTCATTAACCATACACATGATTACTGGTAATCATTTACTGTTTGAAATTATTCTAATCCTTTTAGTTGGATATATTCAGGGGGTATTGCTGGGAACTACTGTTTATATATGATGTGTTGATCTGTGGTGTCTCGTGGAATTATGCCTTGTCTTCTTAGTTGCCAAACATCTGTGCATAACCTCTAGAAATACTGAAGTGAGTGCCATTGATGTGCTGATGACGGACAGCTTATGTTGTCTTCCAGCTCCAGAAAACAATTGACACCATTTGATTCCT